TCATAGATATGAGCTTAAATATTAGAGTTGTCAAAGATTTTTGGTAAATACTTACTCACTCAGAAGCTGAATTACCATCTCTTATAATACAGAATAAAAGAATCCTATATAGGGAAGAAGCCTAGGCAAGATATTCTTATAAGTATCTTTTTCTTTGCTTATTTGCCTATTCCAATATCTTCTTCTGAGACTTGTCTTTGTCTATTTTTCTCATCAGTTGTCTGTCTAACTGGCTGTAGTTCTGTTAGCTGAATGCTTGCTAGATACATCAGTTACAGATGAGGCTTGACATTTCACTTTCTTCAGTGACTTTATACTTAAGTTTTAGATTTGAGTATAGTCAAATATGCAAAATTGTTGTATGGACTGTGATTCTTGCATTTTAAGAACTTCTTCCCTATTTTGAATTAAGATATTATCCTATAATTTCCCCTCTTTCAGTTCTGATTTTCACATTTAGCCTTTAAACCCAACTAGAACTATTTTTATGAGTGGTGTAAGGTAGGGATCTGCCCCTTATCCTCCTTTTGGGTAATCAATTGCCCTGGAACTATTTAGGAATACGGTATCCTTCCCAATGATTTATAATGACATTTCTGTCTTGTACTAAGATTCCACTAATGTTTGGGAGCTAATGTTTGGACTGATCTGTCCTACTTATTTTTATCCTGGCCAATAGCACCCTGTTTTAATTACTGCACTTAATAAGTGCTGCTACATTTAGCAAGACTTTATTTACCACCTTGACTTGGTTATTCTTGGTTCTTTAAGTCTTGCTTGTAAATTTTAGGATTGGCAAGCCACATTTAACAATAAATCCTGTCAGAATTCTGCCCGGAATGACACTGAATCTGTAAGCATCAGTCCTCACATTCATTTAAGGAATCATTCATTTTCCTGCTCTTCTTTTTCTTCCTTCAATATATTTTTATAATATTCTCCATAAGACCTGATACAGTTTATCCGTTTCATTCTTAGGCATTTCACTGTTTTTCCTGTTGTTGCAGCTATTGCAAATGTAACTTCTTTAAAACTAGATTTTCTAATAGAGTAGTTGAGTAAAGACCTCTCATCAAATGTTTAAATCAAATGTTTAAAATTGATGATAGTGTGGATTTTTTGTGTCATCTTTTATTTTAAATCTTTAGGTTATAATGTTTTTGGTAGTGAAAGTGCCCATAGATTATTAGTTTGATAAGTGCTTTTATAGAATAAATTTTTTTCGTATCTATTAGGATATAATTTTTAATTTAGAAAATTAAGAAAATTTTTCAAATGCTTAGTCATCCATGCCTCCTTAGTCATTATTATGTCCTTATACCTCACTTTACTCAATTTGCTGATATTTATTAAGGATTTCTGCACCTAGGTTTGTAAGTTGCAGTATTTCTTTCTTTTGCTATCTTTGTCTGGTTTTGGCATCAAGATTATACCAACATTTCTTTTTTTTTCTACTCTTTGAAACAGAGTAGAAAAAAAGGAAAGCACAAATAGGAATTATCTGCTGCTTTAAGAGTATATAAAGTTACCTATAAAACCATTTGGCATGGAGAATTTCATAAACTTATGGTTTATACTATCCATAAATGTATCTATATCATTTATGGATAGATTATCTATTGTCATCTAATTTGAATAAAGTAACTCACCAAATAAATAACTGGCTTAAATAAGTATTGTTAAAAAATTAGAGTGAGAATAATATGAAAAATGTAAGCACTAGCAAACAGCAACATTAAAAAAAGGCATAACTGACACTGCTATCACTAGTATGAGCTCTTTATTGACTATACTATGAGGTAAAAACAGTGAAATCAGGTCAAAAAAAGGTTAAATTCTTAAGGAAGCTATGTGAAATATGGGTTTATACTTTCTATCACTGCTAATGAAACTCTTCTAAAGTATATTATCATTCAATAAGATACTGGCCGTGAAGTCATCGTGATTAGCAAGACATTTAAAAATTATTTATAACATCTTTATTTAAATCCTAAAAGATTAGTACACATACTGTGTTAGTGGGTACATACACACACACCCATATGTACACACTAATGCATCAAAGGGCATGTGCTTCATTTTTCCTTGTTTGGTGTACATGTAGACAAATTTTAAGAAACTACCAATCCATACCATGGCAGAATGGTTTCATAAAAGAAAATCTGATTTTGTTACTCTCAGTCTGGTAGCTTTTTATGATCCCAAGAAAAGTCAAAATTTGGTCCCTACCTACTTCTTGAGCTTCATCTATCATCATTCTTCCCCGTGCCCTCTATACTTCAAACCACATTAAACTAAGTAATTTCTATCCTCAAGTAAGCAGACTAGAATCACATATGACAAGAAGTCATCCAAAAACTTAAAATTATCAAGAAGACTAGTTATAGATTTATATCCACTATCACTACTCTTTCCAACCTGAGGATTTTCACATATTTTTGCACTTTGTTTAGACTATTACAATAATTTAATTAATTACATGACTCATGTTCTACATATACATGGATCTGTCTTGCCACTTAACTTCACAGAATCAAAGATCTAAGGACTGGAAATTTACTTTTAAAATGCCATCTATTCTTTTTTTTTTTTTTTTTTTTGAGATGGAATCTTGCTCTGTCACCAGGCTGGAGTGGAGCGGCGCAATCTCGGCTCACTGCCACCTCCACCTCCTGGGTTCAAGCGATTCTCCTGCCTCAGCCTCCCGAGTAGCTGGGACTACAGGCGTGCACCACCACGCCCAGCTAATTTTTGTATGTTTAGTAGGGACGGGGTTTCACCATGTTGGCCAGGATGTAGATCTCTTGACCTCGTGATCCACCCACCTCGGCCTCCCAAAGTGCTGGAATTACAGGGGTGAGACACCATGCCGGGCCAAAATGCCATCTATTCTAACCACTCATCTGATGCTTTTCAATACCTTCAACGACGAGACAATCAGAGAAACAGTCCTTCTTTTCTTAGCAATTTCCTTAGAAATATTCTTTCTTATCTAGACCTGAAATCTGTTTCCCTCTAGCTAGTGATCCTAACTCAACTCATTGGACCATTCACAGAAAACTCAGTCCTACGTTAGTGTAACAGTCATACAACTATTTATAGATCATTATCACATTACTTCTAAGGCTTCTTCTATGGTGATAAGGAAAGGGAGGTAGAGAGTACGGTGAGACTAGAATTTGAGTATCTTTCATGAGTTTGTTACTACATATTTAATTCTCACAGTGCTCCAATGGGTCCATTATTATTATGGCCAAATTGCAATTGAAGAAATTAAAGGTCTGACAGGTAACGTTACTTGTTCAAGTAACTTAAGTAAGTAGCAGAGCTAGGATTTCAACCACAAGTCTGTCACATACCAAAGTCTATGTTCTAGTCTCTTCAGAAATCCCCAAAAGGAGAGGAGATATAAGGGAATATAAGGCATGGAAAGGCAAATAAAAACAATTCTAAAAATCCTCTATTTTCCGAGTTCCAAAATTCTGTGCACTGATACTTTTTTCCTTAAGCCTTCACAGGTATTCAACCCTTTGCAAGGATTTTTTTACTTATCTGTGGTGGCAGATATCATAAAAATAACACAGGGAACCCCCCTACTGGCTTTTTAAAGCTTATCAGCTATGGTTAGTGTTGGTGTATTTTATGTGTGACCCAACACAATTCTTCTTCTTCCAATGCAACCCAGGGAAGCCAAAAGGTTGGACACCCATGCAGTATCATAGTTATCTTTGACATTTCTTTCTCTGTCTTATAACCTATTATCTTAAAATTTGTCAGATATTGTCACATAAATACTTGCAACCTAGTGTTAGGGAACTAAAAAGGAAAAATTATTCCCATATTCCAGCCCCTCTAAATTTTAATCTGATTTACATACTGAAAAGACTGTATCTTCAAACACTAGCTAGTATACTCTTTGTCTTTTTTTTTTTTTTAAGAGACAGAGTTTCGCTCTTGTTGCCCAGGCTGGAGTGCAATGGTGTGATCTCGGCTCACTGCAACCTCTGCCTCCCGGATTCAAGCAATTCTCCCGCCTCAGCCTCCCGAGTAGCTGGTATTACAGGCACTCACCACAATGCTTGCTAATTTTGTATTTTTAGTAGAGACGGGGTTTCTCCATGTTGGTCACAGGCTGGTCTTGAACTCCCGACCTCAGGTGATCCAACCGCCTTGGCCTCCCAAAGTGCTGGGATTAGAGGCATGAGCCACCGCACCTGACCTAACTAGTATATTCTTCTTAAGAGCCCCAAACTAACATCACTGTCTTCTGGAATCAAATTTAATGCTGACTTTTTTTCTTATGGCTTCAAAGACTGACAACACTATTCCTAGCCCATATTAACAAAAGCTACCTAAATTATCCTTTGTTCTGATAAACACTTAAGTCCTTTACACACACTTAAAAGGCTCTTCCTCTTGCCTTTCCTCTGTGAAGTAATGGTTCTCTTTTAATTAAACTCTGTAACTCCAACATGGTCATCATCATTCAGGCTCCTTATGACAAATGTTTCTCCATATAGTTAGTTACATGATAACATTACATTTGTCACAGATATTCCATTTCCTCTGTTCCCAGTTACGTTATAAACAACTGGAAGATAAATCATCTACTTTTTTCCCCTTCACTTAAATACAAAAAAAAAACTGAACAAGCAAGTGCTTACTGTTTTCAGCTGTCCACTATAAAAATAATTATTTCTTATAAACATCTTTTTATTTATATCCTTTATTTATTTATATGCTTTACTTTTAAGCTGTTTATTAGGATACACTTTTTTATTGCAAACGGAGTTGCGAGTAACTCAAATTTTCTCTTTTATACACAAAGATGCAAATACAGAAGCTGCAAATAGGTGCTTTTCTCCAGTACATATTACATAAGCAAATTAAAAGTCATATTACATCCAAAATAAATTTGGCTATGAATATAAAAGTTATAAATATACATTTGACGATATAAAACATCAAATTATATACTACATGCACACAAAAAATCTTACCTTGCTGAGTATTTTGTTCTTGCATTCGATTCACAGTGAGGTCTAAGGGGCCTTCCTGTTCTTCCTGAAGGGAGTTTTCTGCTTGATTCATTTGGATACTTTTACATACTATACTTGGTCCAATTGAACCATTTCTATTCTCTTGAGTTTTACCACTTTTTGAAATGTACTCAATCGCAAATTGACGTATCATCTTTTTCATTAATTCCTGAGCAACTAGGGGAATGTTAGGATCACAGTTCTGAGGAAGATCTAGGGAAGAAATAAATATAATAATCATTTTAAAAAGAGAAATGCAAATCACCAACATTTAAATTTATTTTTATTACAAATTAATGACTTCAGAAGTCTTTTAGCATCAGTCCATAACTGCCAATGTTTTCTGGGAATTAGCAATAAAAGCTTTGTAGATTTAATTAGCTTTATAATAATATATCAACCAAAAATGTGGCATATTTAATTATTTCTTACAATTAAACATTCTCTGGTACCAAACTAAAATACAGATAAAGAATTAGACATAGAAGCAGAACAACTTATTCTCAAGAGTTCTAATACTCATTCAGATATACTTTACTAGATATTAAAACACTCAGTATGTGAACATAAATTGTATAAGTAACCAAATTTTATCCTAATGTACAATGTGCATGCATTAACTAGGAAAACATCTAAATTCTTATAATTCTGTATCCATTAAATTCTCCAATTCTGTAAAATGTGCATTTCATGTATGTCCTGAATGTCATCATCAAGGATTTTTTCTTTCCTCGATTTTTTATACAGAAATTTTTTTTTTTTTGAGACGGAGTCTCGCTCTGTCCCTCAGGCTGGAGTGCAGTGGCCGGATCTCAGCTCACTGCAAGCTCCGCCTCCTGGGTTTACACCATTCTCCTGCCTCAGCCTCCCGAGTAGCTGGGACTACAGGCGCCCACCACCTCGCCCAGCTAGTTTTTTGTATTTTTTAGTAGAGACGGGGTTTCACCATGTTAGCCAGGATGGTCTCCATCTCCTGACCTTGTGATCCGCCCGTCTCGGCCTCCCAAAGTGCTGGGATTACAGGCTTGAGCCACCGCGCCCGGCCTATATAGAAAAATTTTGATCATAAATAAAAAATGAAAGAATAGTACAACGACACAGCTTCTACTAATATTCAAGAACTGTTACTAGTCTGCCAAATTAGCTTTCTTTTTACTTTATTTTTATTTGTAGAACCACTGAAACTGCAGAATAAGGACAATTTACTCCTAAATATTTTAGCATGGATATCCTAAGATATTTTTGTAAAATGAGAATATCATAGAGAGTTTTAACCAAACCATTTTGATCAACTACAACTATAACAAAGTTCAACAGTAATAATACAACTCTATCTGAAACTTATACAGTTGGTAAAACAACTGAACGATTTTATAGTAAGAAGTGTGGGATAAGAACAGATCACTTATATACATAGTTTATAATAGTGATATAGAGATTTAGTATTGGGGGTGGTGGTTTTTATACACACATTTCTGGTCTGGCTCCATTCCCTTTATTTACTCTGATCCTTTAGATGCAGGGTGATTGGTAAATTGGGAAGGATGACTAGAGATACTTGTTTTCTGAGTAGGGGTACACTTTTTCCTCTTAGAAATGGGCCTACTTGTAGAGATACTAGTTCTCTACTCCTTAAATGTCTAAACCCTTACTCAGGTAGATCAGTGTTAAATGAATAGGCCTTCTCTGATCCACCATTGTTAAGAGACTGAAGTGGTAAGCCTCCCTAGTTCTGTGTTTCAGTATTAGTTAAAACACTTGTTTAAAAGACTTAAAGAGAAGCCTTCCAACCAGCATCTATCATTAATAGGTCCATCGCTCTAAAATGCAAGAAGGTTTCAAAATATACTATTTGGAGGTGAGGAGAGGCAACAAACCCACCCCCACTACAACTACCATCACATTTGGTAGCAAAACGTGACTTAAGCTGATATAAACTGGTCCTGCATAAATGTCAATACATTTGATCACAGGGTGCTATCTCAGACTTGTTGGAGATATTACAAAACATTGTATTACCTGTTTCAAAACAAAGAATTTTGAATTCTGAAAAACATCTGAAAGAGGGAACTATGGGCCTATAAGAAAAATACAATTTTAGCCTTCACTTCGATTGTTTGTTTAGAACTTGATAGGAAAGAGGGACACTATTCGTTTTCCTATTCGACCTAGCTATAGTTCGGGATCTTAGCCATCTTTATGAACTTAGGCTAGTTACATATTCTCTCCATGCCTCAGTTTCTGCATTCATTAAGACAGAAATAATAATAGAACCTGGGATAATATTTATGGGGCTTGCTCACTGGATGCTGTAAGGATTATATGAGATTGTAGATAAAATACTTAACTCTGTACTTGGCATATTAATAGTCCAGTAAATGTTAGCCGTTAGTAGAAATAATAGGAGAAAAAAAAGATGCAGGCTAAGCACTTATATTTTTTTTAAATCACCAAATGGTAAATAAGTAAAAGTACAAGGGGTCTTCAAAGTTCATGGAAAACGCACATTATAAAAAAACTATGCATAAATTTCAAAAATTTTTTGCACCAAAATAAACTACTAACTTGTTATAACATGTGTAAACGGCATCTAGCTTGAGGCACTAAGAAGGATAAGACATCAGTTTGAAAACATCCAGTATCAGAGCAACATGAGTTCTGCTAAAACTGAAGTAAGAACAAATATTAACTATACGTTAAAGCTTGGATGGAAGAATGGTAAAATCACTAGTAATTTTGAAAAAGTTTATGAGGATAATGTCCTAAAGAAATCAGCAGTTTAAAAATGGATAACTTGGTCGTTGGCAAAGTCTGAGTCCCGTCCTCTCGCTCTCCTCCCCGTACAGCATGAGCTTCACCACTTGCTCCACCTTCTCCGTCCAGGCACCCAGCTACGGTGCCTGACTGGTCAGCAGCGTGGCTGGCATCTATGCAGCTTCCGGGAGCTCTGTTTCCCTGATCTCCATGTCCTGCTCCACCAGCTTCCAGGGTGGCTTCAGGTCCGGGGACCTGGCCATGGGGATGGCTGGGGGTCTGGCAGGAAAGGAAGGCATCCAGAACGAGAAGACCACGTAAGGCCTGAATGGCCAGAGCATGCAAAGCCTGAATGACCACCTGGCCTCCTATCTGGACAGAGTGAGGAGCCTGGACACCAAGAACTAGAGAAGCTGGAGAGCAAAATTGGGGGCACCTGGAGAAGAAGGGACCCCAGGGCAGAGACTGGAACCATTAGTTCAAGACCATCAAGGACCTAAGGGCTCCGATTTTCGCAAATACTGTGGAAAATGTCTGCGTTGTTCAGCAGATTGACAATGCCCGTCTTGCTGATGATGACTTTAGAGTCAAGTATGAGACAAAGCTGGCCATGCACCAGTCTGTGGAGAGCAACATCCTGGGCTCCTGCAAAGTTACTGATGAAACCAATGTCACTCGGCTGCAGCTGGAGACACAGATGGAGGCTCTCAAGGAGGAGCTGCTCTTCACGAAGAACCATGAAGAGGAAGTAAAAGGCCTACAAGCCCAGACTGCCAGCTCTAGGGTGACTGTGGAGGTACATGCCACCAAATCTCAGGACCTTGCCAAGATCATGGTAGACATTTGGGCCCAATACAACAAGCTGGCTCAGAAGAACCGAGAGGAGCTAGACAAGTTACTGGTCTCAGCGTCTCAGCAGACTGAGGAGACCACCACAGTGATTACCACGCAGTCTGCCGGAGCTGGAGCTGCTGAGATGGTGCTCATGAAGTTGAGACTTATAGTCCAGTCCTTGGAGATGGACCTGGACTTGATGAGAAACCTGAAGGCCAGCTTGGAGAATGGCCTGAGGGAGGTGGAGGCCCACTACACCCTACAGATGGAGTAGCTCAATGGGATCCTCCTGCACCTGGAGTCGGAGCTGGCACAGACCCGGGCAGAGGGGCAGCACCAGGCCCAGGAGTACGAGGTCCTGCCAAACATCAAGGTCAAGCTGGAGGCTAAGATCATCATCTATCGACGCCTGCTGGAAGACGGTGAGGACTTCAATCTTGGTGATGCCCTGGACAGCAGCAACTCCATGCAAACCATCCAAAAGGCCACCAGCCACCGGATAGTGGATGGCAAAGTGGTACCTGAGACCAATGATACCAAAGTTTTGAAACATTAAGCCAGCAGAAGTAGGGTCCCCTCTGGGGAGGAGGAGGCCAATAAAAAGTTCAGAGGTCAAAAAAATGGACAACTCATTTTAAGGGATGAGATGATGTTGAAGATAAAGCCTGCAGTGACAGAACATCCGCATCAATTTGTGAGGACAAAAATTCATTTTGTTTGCATCCCAATTGAAGAAGACTGGTGATTAACAGCAGGAATGATAGTCAACATCATAGACATCTTGATGGACATTAGCTCACACAATTCTGACTCCAAAACTAAAGCTGAGCAGATTTCCACTCAATGGGTGCCAAGACCATTGCACCCAGATCAGTTGCAGACGACAGCAGAGCTTTCAATGAAAAAATTTTAACCAGTGGGTTCAAGATTCAGAGCATGTCTTCAAAGAATTGTAAAAGGCGATGAAACATGGTTTTACCAATATAATCCTGAAGATAAAACACAATTAAAGCAATGGCTGCCAAGAGATGGAAGTGGTCCTGTCAAAGCCAAAGCGGACAGACTAAGAGCAAAGGTTATGGCAACAGTGTTTTGGAATGTTCAAGGCTTTTTGCTTGTTGACTTTCTGGAGAGTCAAAGAAATAACATGTGTTTATTATGAGAGTGTTCTGAGAAAGGCAGCCAAAGTTTGAGCAGAAAAATGCCCAGGAAAGCTTCACCAGGGAGTCCTCCACAATAATGCTCTTGCTCATTTCTTTCATCAAACAAGGGCAATCTGGCAAGAGTTATGATGGGAAATCATCAGGCATCCACCTTATAATCCTCATTTGATGTCTTCTAATTTTTTTGTTTCCTAATCTTAAAAAAACTTTAAAGGTCACCAATTTTTCTTCAGTTAATAATGTAAAAAAAATTGCATTGACACGGTTACATTCTCAGTTCTTTTGAGTATGGACTAAATGGCTGGTATCCTTGCTTACAAAAGTGTCTTGAATTGGATGGAGCTTATGTTGAGAAATAAACTTTGTATTTTTTATTTTTATCTTTGAATTCCATTTTTTCCATGAACTTTTTAAAGTCCCTTCTTATTTGTTAACTTCATAACTGGAAAAATATAAAAGACA